CTGCAAAGAGTGAGAGTTTGACTTCCTCTTTGCCGATTTGGATGCCTTTGATTTCATTTCGTTGTCTGATTGCTGTGGCTAGGACTTCTAATACTATGTTGAATAGCAGTGGTGAGAGTGGACATTCCTGCCATGTTTCTGACCTCAGGGGAAAAGCTCTCACTTTTCCCCATTGAGAATGATATTTGCTGTAGGTTTTTCATAGATGGCTTTTATGATATTGAGGTATGTACCCTCTATCCCTATGCTCTGAAGAGTTTTGATCAAGAAAGGATGCTGTACTTTGTCAAATGCTTTTTCTGCATCTATTGAAAGGATCATATGATTCTTGTTCTTTCTTTTGTTAATGTATTGTATCACGTTGATTGATTTGCGGATGCTGAACCAACCTTGCAGCCCAGGGATAAATCCCACTTGGTCATGGTGAATAATCCTTTTAATGTACTGTTGGATCCTGTTCTAGTATTTTGGTGAGAATTTTTGCATCCATGTTCATCAAGGATATTGGTCTGTAATTCTCCTTTTTGATGGGGTCTTTGTCTGGTTTGGGGATCAAGGTAATGGTGGCCTCATAAAGTGAATTTGGAAGTTTTCCTTCCATTTCTATTTTTTGGAACAGTTTCAGGAGAATAGATATTAATTCTTCTTTAAATGTCTGATAGAATTCCCCTGGGAAGCCATCTGGCTCTGGGCTTTTGTTTGTTGCGAGCTTTTTGACGACTGCTTCAATTTCCTTAGTGGTTATAGGTCTGTTCAGGTTTTCTATTTCTTCCTGGTTCAATTTTGGTAGTTGATACAGCTCTAGGAATGCACCCATTTCTTCCAGGTTATCTAATTTGCTGGCATAGAGTTGCTCATAATATGTTCTTATAATTGTTTGTATTTCTTTAGTGTTGGTTGTGATTTCTCCTCTTTCATTCATGATTTTGTTGATCTGGGTCATTTCTCTTTTCTTTTGGATAAGTCTGGCCAGGGGTTTATCAATCTTGTTAATTCTTTCAAAGAACCAGCTCCTAGTTTCGTTGATCTGTTCTACTGTTCTTTTGGTTTCTATTTCATTGATTTCTGCTCTGATCTTTATTATTTCTCTTCTCTTGCTGGGTTTAGGCTTTATTTGCTGTTCTTTCTCCAGCTCCTTTAGGTGTAGGGTTAGGTTGTGTATTTGAGACCTTTCTTGTTTCTTGAGAAAGGCTTGTATTGCTATATACTTTCCTCTTAGGACTGCCTTTGCTGTATCCCAAAGATTTTGAAGAGTTGTGTTTTCATTTTCATTGGTTTCCATGAGTTTTTTTAATTCTTCTTTAATTTCCTGGTTGACCCATTCATTCTTTAGTAGGATGCTCTTTAGCCTCCATGTATTTGAGTTCTTTCCAACTTTCCTCTTGTGATTGAGTTCTAGTTTCAAAGCATTGTGGTCTGAAAATATGCAGGGAATAATCCCAGTCTTTTGGTACCGGTTGAGACCTGATTTGTGACCTAGGATGTGATCAATTCTGGAGAATGTTCCATGGGCACTAGAGAAGAATGTGTATTCCGTTGCTTTGGGATGGAATGTTCTGAATATGTCTGTGAAGTCCATTTTGTCCAGTGTGTCATTTAAAGTCTTTATTTCCTTGTTGATCTTTTGCTTAGATGACCTGTCCATTTCAGTCAGGGGGGTGTTAAAGTCCCCCACTATTACTGTATTGTTGTCAATGTGTTTCTTTGCTTTTGTTATTAATTGCCGTATATAATTGGCTGCTCCCATGTTCGGGGCATAGATATTTACAATTGTTAGATCTTCTCGTTAGATAGACCCTTTAAGTAGGATATAGTGTCCTTCTTCATCTCTTATTACAGTCTTTGTTTTAAAATCTGATTTGTCTGATAGAAGGATTGCCACCCCAGCTTTCTTTTGGTGTCCATTAGCATGGTAAATGGTTTTCCACCCCCTCACTTTCAATCTGGGGGTGTCTTTGGGTCTAAAATGAGTCTCTTGCAGACAGCATATCGATGGGTCTTATTTTTTAATCCAATCTGATAGCCTGTGTCTTTTTATTGGGGCATTTAGCCCATTTACATTCAGGGTAACTATTGAAAGTTATGAATTTAGTGCCATTGTGTTGCCTGTAAGGTGACTGTTACTGTATATTGTCTGTGTTCCTTTCTGATCTATGCTGCCCTTAGGCTCTCTCTTTGCTTAGAGGACCCCTTTCAATATTTCTTGGAGGGCTGGTTTCGTGTTTGCAAATTCCTTTAGTGTTTGTTTGTCCTGGAAGCTTTTTATCTCTCCTTCTATTTTCAGTGACAGCGTAGCTGGATATAGTATTCTTGGCTGCATATTTTTCTCGTTTAGTGCTCTGAAGATATCATGCCAGTCCTTTCTGGCCTGCCAGGTCTCTGTGGATAGGTCTGTTGCCAATCTAATATTTCTACCATTGTAGGTTACTTATCTCTTCTCCCGAGCTGCTTTCAGGATTTTCTCTTTGTCTCTGAGACTCGTAAGTTTTACTATTAGATGTCGGGGTGTTGACCTATTTTTATTGATTTTGAGAGGGGTTCTCTGTGCCTCCTGGATTTTGATGCCTGTTTCCTTCCTCACATTAGGAAAGTTTTCTGCTATTATTTGCTCCAATATACCTTCTGCCCCTCTCTCTCTTTCTTCTTCTGGGATCCCAATTATTCTAATGTTGTTTCGTCTTATCGTATCGCTTATCTCTCGAATTCTGCCCTCGTGATCCTGTAGTTGTTTCTCTCTCTTTTTCTCCGCCTCTTTATTTTCCATCATTTGGTCTTCTATATCACTAATTCTCTCTTCTGCCTCATTTATCCTAGCAGTTAGTGCCCCCATTTTTGATTGCACCTCATTAATAGCCTTTTTGATTTCGTCTTGGTTAGATTTTAGTTCTTTTATTTCTCCAGAAAGGGTTTCTCTAATAACTTCCACACTTTTTTCAAGCCCTGCTAGTATCTTTAAAGTCATGATTCTGAACTCGAGGTCCGACATCGTACTAATGTCCGTATTGAGTAGGTCCTGGCTGACGGTACTACCTCTTGTTCTTTTTGCTGAGGTGATTTTTTTCGTCTTGTCATTTTGTCTAGAGGAGAATAGATGAATGAAAGAACAAAATGCTAACACGTTAACAACATCCCCAGGAAATATACTCTATACAAATCAGAAAAGACCTGAAACCAGGGGAAAAGAAAGGGAAAGAAAGAAAAAAGAAAGAGGAAAAAAAAAAACAAAAAGAAAAAGATAAAAACAAAAACAGAACAATACAAAAAAAACAGAATATGATCAAATATGATCAGGCTAGTGCAGAGATCAGTGTCACACACTAGATTTTGGGCATATTTTGGTCTGTTAGAAAAAAGTGCCTCCTAAAATTTTAAAGGAAGAAAGACTTATGTATGTACAAAATAAGGGTTGATACAATGAAGGGATGGAAGATGACTGTAAAGATGAAAATTATAAAAGATTTTATAAAAGGAATTGATAAGGAGTTGTTTGAAAAAAGAAAGAAGAATATTTTTTAAAAAAGAGGAAAAAAAAAGGGAGAGAATGTGATCAGGCAGGAGACTAGAACAAAGCCATACACTAGTGATTTAGGGTATATTTTGATCTGTTAGAAGAAACTGTATCTCAAAATTTTAAAGAGAGAACAACTTATATATATATACCAAAATTAACGGTAACTACTATGAAGGGATAAAATATGACTCTAAAAATGAAAAATAAAAAGTTTTTTTTTAAAAAGGGATTGATAAGATGTTGGTTGAAAAAGGGAAAAAGAAAAATTTAAAAAAAACAGTTAAAAAATTAACTTTGAAAAACTAATGAATCATGGTTTAAAAAAAAAAAAGCCATGAATTCTATGTGCAGTATTCCCCTAGCGCTGGAGTTCTCCTGTTCTCCTTGATGGGTAAACTTGGTCTTGGCTTGCTGGCGGTTCGTGCTGATCTTCTGAGGGAGGGGCCTGTTGCCGTGGTTCCCAAATGTCTTTGCTGGAGGCGGAATTGCCCCGCCCTTGTCGGTCCGGGCTAAGCAAGCTGCTCGGGTTTGCTCTCAGGAGCTTTTGTTAAGGTTTTTGTTTTTTTTAAGGTGAAGTGATACTGGCACAGACTTACTTAATCATAGAAAGTTTGGTTATAATATTTTTTAAAAAACACCTCTGAAATTATTTTTTCTTAAAATCACAGTTCACAGAACACAAGAGGTGAGGGAGAATGTTCTGAGAAAAATAATATCAGGGGGGCGCCTGGGTGCCTCGGTCCATTAGGTGTCTGCCTTAGGCTCAGGTCACAATCTCAGGGTCCTGGGATCGAGCCCCACATCAGGCTTCCTGCTCAGCGGGGAGTCTGCTTCTCCCTCTCCCTCTGCACCCCCCACTCATGTTCTGTCTCTTTCTTTCAACTAACTAAGTAAAATCTTCAAAAAAAAAAAAAAAAAAGGAAAAGAAAAATCCCATGGTTTCAAGCAGCACTGTCTCCCAATGCTAACTGTGGGTTTCCATTGGTGCTGCTTCAGAGGGAGGCTACAGGGGTGGGGCAAGGCTGGCTTTGGGTGTTGACATAGCTTCAGTCCCCTTGCAAAGGCAGTACTAATACACAAGGAGTATTCAAGAACAATGCCTATGGGATCTCTATGGCCCAGCTCTAAACAATGTGGGGTTCCCCAAGGTGTGAAATCCTCAGGGACTAGTACAGTGGAAGAGGTGAGACCAGAGCTGATCCTGACAGGCAAGGTTTTGTAGGGAAGTCATGCTAGATAAGAGTGATCTCCTAACTCCAGCTCGGTCGATGCTGAAGTCCTTTTAGGGACTTTCTGCGGGGACTGGCCTGACTTCCAGTTACTGAGCTACCATCTTCAAGTCTTGGCCTGCCCTCCACCTGCAGCTTTTGAGAGTTCATGGAAAGGGACTGCCTAGATTCTAATCCTTGGAAAGATGGGCTGGTTGGGTCAAGCAGCATGGAAACAGCAGACACTCTGACGGAATGTGACACCCCCAACCCCCACTCAGGGCTGGCTGCCGTGGACCACATCAATGCTGTCATTCTGGAAGGTGACCCCGAGAATACGCTACTTGCACTGAAGAGACCGGAGGCCCAGCTGCCTGCTGTTTATCCCTTTGCTGCTGTAATGTATCAGAATGAACTTTTCAACCTCCAGAAACAGAATGCCATGGTAAGTCTGAGGACACTCCAGTTACAAAGCCGTTAATTCTGAGTTGAAGCCATGAGGAAGGCCGTTTAGGAAAGGTGAATGGGGCGCAGAGTCTTCAACTTGTACCAATCCCTGTTCCCCTGGCCTCCCTGTTCCAGGTCCACGGCTGCCTTCCTCTTCAACTCCTGCTTTTCATCTCCATAAGGAGTCTGCCTAGTTAGGAAGTGCAGGCAGCAGTCTACACAAATACACGTTGAAAACAAGTTGTTCTTATTCTCTTAGTCTCTGATTTTTGAAGCACTTCGGATAATTTTTTTAAGTGCACTGAAATTTTTAAAAAATATATCATGTTTTTTGTACAGAATAATTAGCTGCGAGTCTGCATTTCTAGAAATGAAGAACGTTAGCGCCATGACTTTAACTTTTGTAAATTGAATGCTGCTTAATATGCGAATGGTATTAAATGGTAATATATAAGGTTACAGTAATTAAAACCATGTGTACTAGTACAGGATTAACCCAAACAATGGAACAGAATAAAAAGTACTGGAAGCAGCGCCAAGAACTGATTATATGAGAACACTAGTATTTCAAAAAGGTGGAGAAGAGAATGAAATCCTTACGAGTGTTTAGCCATTTGAAAAAGAAAACATGACCTCACTATGCATATCAGAATAAATTCCCAACATAAAAAGTTAAATGTAAAAAGTAACTTAAAAAATTGAAGTTCTAAGGAAATGTAGAAGAACATTGGATCTTAAAAATCAGAAACAGCACTGTTCCACGAAAAAAAGGGAGGGGGGGAGGCCAAAAGCATGAACAGCCAATTCACAAAGATCAGCATATACAATGACAGACACACACACACAAATGTTCAAACTCAATCAGAAGTAAATGTAAATTAAGATACAGTTGTTTTGGGAAATCAGATTAGTAGCACTGAGAGATCTAACGTGGTGTAGGTATAAATTTGGGGCAGGAGGCATCTCCTCCCTGGCCGATGGAAGCATGAATGGGGCACCCTTCCTGGAAGGCTGGTCTCAGTTAAGTGTATGCAGGTCTTTTACCCATTATCCTGACAATTACATTGCTAGGAAAAGAGCCTAAAAAATATTAATCAAAAAGTTGTATGCACAGGGATTGTTTCACAACATGTTCTGTAATACTGAGAAGCAAGAAACAAACCACATGTTTAACAACAGGTTGCACATGCTAATATCAAGTGGAAAAAATGAGATTAAAACGTCATTATCTAGAGGGCTTTTTGTACCATGAAAATTCTGTTTAAAAAAACCTCTGTAAATGTATGAATTAAAAATAAATAAATGGATATACACTAAAGGGCTTGGGTGGGAGGATTTGTTTTCTTATTCTTGCATACCAAGACTTCTTGTTTTCTAAATAGAAAGATACTATTTTGTAATAAAAGAAAAGTAGGTCATGTTTTGAAATTGCACTTAAGTTCTTTCTTTGATAGTTTCTCCTGTACCACCAGCTTTGAAACCCAAGGCTACTCACGCCCTAGCCCAGCCATTCATCCCTAACTGGTCAATGGTCAATCTATGGTTGTCCAGACCCACTGCTTCTTTATTTTTCCGTATCCTGCTGTATACCATGTTAGATATTTGTGGACAATTACTGGAAGGGGTGTAGGAGTTGGATCTCAAAATGTTTCCATCCTGCTCTTTTACTTGTAATTTTATACTTCCTTTATGTGTTAAACTTGTAGTTAATATAAGAAACTTGGATAAAATTTGCTTACATGCTCCCTGCTTCTCATTTGCTTTGGAAGGTAAAATTATGCCTTGTTACTCTAAAATCCACTGCTGTGGGATACCTGTGGAGATCCAGAAAGCTATAATGCATTTTAATATAAATATTACATTTTATATATTAAATACAGAAAATACCCTAACTGTAAATACAGTTTTTTCTATTAATTTTCTGCTCCCTCTGTGTTCCTTCGCTATAATGGAAGAAATAACCCTTTTGAAGTTCAACCAAGTCGGTATAAAATGGTTAAATGGAGGAGAACATTGAAGGGGGAAGCTGTTTCGAAAGTCTCCGAAGTGGTTTTCTAAATTTTATTTGACTATGGTTGACACCCAATGTTACATTACTTTCAGGTGTACAAGGGAGCCACTTGGCAAGGTTATACTGTATGCTATGCTCACCACAAGTGTAGCTACCATGAGATGTATTTTTTTAAGCCAAATCCAAAATTATAAATCATACTTGCTTTATTCTAAGATTGACTTCACATTTCTTCAAATATCCAGACTTCATGGTATGTTTTAAAATTTCTACCCAGTTACTGGGGCGTCTGGGTGGCTCAGCCAGTTGAGCATCTGACTTGTGATTTCTGCTCAGGTCATGATCTCATGGGTTGTGAGATCGAGCCCCACATTGTCGGGCTCCATGCTCATCGCAAAGTCTGCTTGGAGATTGTCTCCCTCTGCCCCTGCCCCCACTCACTCTCGCTCTAAAATAAATCTTTTAAAAAAATAGTAGAAAATAACATTTCTACGCAGTTATTAAAAAGTGACTCAGATTAACTTTTTTGGGACTAGAATTGATATTCTTAATGAGTTTGGTTTACTTTTCTGGGGTTATAACTTGTAGGTAAAACTTTGCCTTACCCTTACTTTAAACTGAAAATCACTACCGAAAATCTGAACCTCACACTCTCAGGCAGAGACAGGCTTGTCTAATCCTTCACTTAATTATTTGGTAAGTCTGAGCCTGTAAGCAGCTAACAGAACGGGTGGTAGGAATCAGCTAGGGCAATGCAGATGTTTGAGGAATCAGAACCTTTGGTTGTCATTAATTCTGTCCCTTAAATGATCAGCTAAGAAAAACCCAGAAGCTGCTCACTTGTTCTTTAAAGCCAATGAAAAATAGGTGGCCATTGAGCCTTCTTTCTCCTGGTTTCTCAAAATCTTTAAGTTTTCTTTGTTCTTTGAAATAGGCGTTCTAAAACCCCATCACACACCTGAGGCTTGTAATTTGGGAAACTTGTATTGCACATATTTTCCAGCAGAACTACTTGGCCCATGAGGAGCTCTTGATTGCAGTGGAAATGCTGTCTGCTGTTGCTTTACTCAACCAGGCCTTGGAAAACAGTGATCTCGTTTCTGTGCAGAATCAACTCACAAGCCCAACAATAGGCCTCAACAATCTGGATGAATCGTATGTAGAACGGTAAGGGAACATCTTCCAAGCCTCCCTTTAATACAGAAAGGTGTGTTTGGCAGATCTTGCAAATTAAAGATTTGCTCCTTGCTGAAGAAATCCATAAAGCTGTACTTGATTCCTCAAAAACTAGTCTACTTCAACAGTCCTAATATGAGTCCTTTTTTACAGTATTTCTTTTAGGGAGAGAAAGAATCTAAAAATGACCATGTTGTGGCAATTACTGACTGACTTTGTCATTACCAAAGATGATGGGATAGGCTAAAAATAAAAGAGCTATTGAAAACATACCTTCCTGGGGCACCTGGGTGGCTCAGTCATTAAGCGTCTGCCTTCGGCTCAGGTTATGATCCCAGGGTCCTGGGATCGAGCCCTGCATCGGGCTCCCTGCTCTGTGGGAAGCCTGCTTCTCCCATTCGCCCTGCTTCTGTTCCCTCTCTCACTGTTTCTCTCTCTGTCAAATACATAAATAAAAATCTTTAAAAAAAGAAAACATACCTTCCCTTGGGCTTTTTTTTTTTTTTTGGGAGACCACCGAATGTAGAAGAGTTGGAAGAAACTTTAACCATGATCCAGTCCAGTTATTTTATTTTACTGATGAGGAAACTGAATTTGGATTTATGGACCCACAGTTGGGCAACTGAAGCCCAAACCCCATTGTTTTGAATGTTAAACCCAAGGAAAGCTGAGAGCGCAGTGGATCATGGCAGTGGGTGACAATCTCAGTTTAGTATCTTCCATTTCATGTCTCTGAAATATGCTACTAGATAGTTCAGTTAATAGTATAAAACACTACAGCAGCTCTACAGAGAAAATTAAGGGGCCAGAATAAGGAGTCCATTAGAGGTTCTGTAAAACCGAAGCCCAAGTTAAAATGAGTGATTTTGTAGCCTGGATTCTTGCTAACCACTAGGGGGAGATGTCTGCATAGATCCTGACAAAAGCTCTTTTCAGTACTGATTTCAGCTGAACTGCTTAAATAGAGACTGGGTCATTCTCTTGGATCATGACAGTTGTACAAGAAAATGTAGAAGACTTTAGATTTTTTTTTAAATGCTTAACTCCTTGTCTGTGTAGAGAATGGCACCAAAGTAGGACAGAGGATTTTCTTTTTTAATCTTCTTGGAGAAACGGATGTTCTTGTTCTACTTAAATTTGGCCACCTGATGAATATAACTCCTGAGTCTGTTTCCAAGGTAATTTATTTTATTGCTAATGGCACCATTCTCTTCCCCAGGCTTAGAAACCTCAAGTTCTACTCGTTTTCCCCTGCCAGGCACCCTTGTGCTGTGAACAGCCTGCTCATTTCTCCCTGTCAACATCCATTCTGTATGTGTTAACACCTGCAAAATGTTGCCATTTCCCAGCCACAGCCTAACTGGACTTGTCACCTTTGCTTCTGTAATAATGTCCAAACTGGTCCTCCTGTGTCTTTAATGTCCTCCTTCATTTTCACCTAACCAGACTTGGCTGCCGTCCCTCAGTGCTTGAGTGGAAGACAGAGCTGGTGAGCTGGTCACTTCCTTACAAAGCTTACAGCCCAGTGGGGCTCTAATGGGACATCTTGGTGAGGTAATTGTCACAACTGTCCCACAGATTGCACATCCTGGCCACTGCCCTCTAAGTAACTGTACTGCCTTCCCTCCACATCACCCATTTTGATTACCAAAATTCCTCCGTACCCGCCCCCCAATTTGCAAATAACCCATCAAGGAATCTCACACCCCATTTGAGAACCACTTTTTCCCAGGGGAAAACCACAGATACAGCCTCAGAGTTCAAGTATTCTATATGGGAAGCTTGAAAAAAATTGTTCATTTTAATCATGTTTTTAAAGTTTGACCTAAGCACTTTCTGGGTCAGCAGAATGACCAGTACCATGAGATATCAGGGTCCCCTTGGTTCTTGGGCTGACAGTTGATCCAGCCCCAAGTGATCTTCCACAGCCTCAGCGTTTTACCTTCATGGTCCACTTTTTAACACAGTTCTTGGAAGCCCAAGTTTTCAAGTTGAAGAAATGAAGCTCCATCTGGGCCTCTCCCCAGGGTTGTCCAGGTTCTTCATAGCACCAGGAGTGGGGCAGGGCCACCTTGATGTAGTCATACAGAGTATCTACCTATTTGCCATGGCTTCCACCCTTGGCCTGTGGTTCCCCAGAAAGACTCTTCTAATTCTCAAAAAAGTGTTGGAGAGCTGGTATTGGCTCTAGGCATCTGCTGTCCCAGATTAATTGTCCCAAAATGTAGCTATGGTTACAGCGCTCTCCATTTGATTGTTCCTTGTTCTCATCTGCAACAAGAACAGACTCCTCTAAGCACATTCTGACTCCGCTCTAGTTCCATCTCTCCTTGTGCATCATGCTTCCATCAAGCTGGATGTGAACACACTGTGTACTTGCTGGCCTGTCTACTGTGCGTGCTCCTCTCGCCACTGGGAGTGGGGTGCCTGTCACCTCTCCAGGCACACTGCTGGAGCTGCCAACCACAGATGATGCTTCCGCAGATTATTTCCATGCTTCTCCCCACGCCAGCTAATGCCATCTCTCCTGACATTAGTGATGTGGTTAAAGGAACATAGATAGCATGAGGGCCAAAAATATCTGAGTCTGACTGTTGACAGCCTTTTCTTCATCTCTCAAGTGTAGAAACCCCTACATCTGCATCAGAAGTCTGTTAGAAATGCGCTGTTCCTGGTCTGCCTGTAGCCACCAGTATAGAGTGCTGAGAGGCGTGGAGGGACGGGACTTGGACCTCTCTGTGAGGGTGAACTGCAGAGTGTTTTCTATAGCTGATGCCTTAGTCCTGGAGGCTGATGCTCACATAGAAAAGCCTTTGCAGCTCTGTTGGCTTACTCCTAAAAAGCTCTTTCCTTTGGCTACTGTATGTTCATCTCTGAAGAAATGATGGGCGATGATGAGGATTTTCCTGTGTTCATCCTTAAGCTTTCTCATTTTATTCCCCCTGGATCATTTAGATGTTAATCATGTGAAATGCCCATGAGGATCTTGCCCTTGCTTACAGATCTGGTCTCTGTCCCAAAGGGACACTCAGGAGTGCAAGTTGACATTTTGTTATTGTTATTCAATACTATTGTTTATGTATTACTAGTGTAACAGAGTGTTTCTTAGACTTATAAATTTTGGTAAGGTGAAAATCTCAGACGTGACCGTTAGCCACTTTCAGGCCTGAATTTGGTGACACCTTATTCAGCCACAGGTAAAAGATATCACTACCACTTCCTATTTTGAATGTTTTTCTCTCTCAAGCTACCCTCTATAGAAGGCACCCGAGTGCTACCTTAAAGCATGCAGAATTTTGACAAAATCAGTCACAACCAGGAAAACAGTTTTAAACTTAATGTGATGTTACTTTTCCTAACCTCTGCTGTTAGCAATCCAAAGGTGCTATTCAGAAGTCAAAATGCATGGTGAGTAAGTATGCACATAGAAGGTTGGCCTTTATTTCCCTGGGGTAATTCAGAAGCAAACTAGACTCTTGACTTTCCCTACTTGGGGCTAGAACAGCTCATGTCAGCTTATGTTTGTAACATTGGTTCTGGGATTTTTAAATGGGAAACATGACTACTGAGAAATGGGTTCCTTAGTACCAAATCAAGATGGATAATTTTCATCCCTAAAATTTCCCCAAACAAGACAAGTAATTGAAGTGGCTGATCAAGCTCTCTTTGCCAGAGGGTTGTGCATAGTGAGGAGAGTCAAGGGTCAGAAATGAGGGGCAAGAATGCCATAGCAGTGAGCGGACACAGAGGGAGGTTTTGAGTAGCTGCTCTGGAGCCTGAGGAGAAATGGACAGGTGAGGAAGGACTTCACTCATGTCCTACATCTTCGAGAAAACATACGTTGAAGATCTGTGTTACTCAGCAAGGTTTCTGGAACTGCATTTGTATTTTATTTGATTCCCCCCTGGGCATATTAGCCCTCAAGGTAACGCAGCTGGGTTAAGGTTACAGGTGTAAAAGGCTCTAAAGCTCAGATTTTGGAAGGAACAAGAAAAATTATAAAAGGAACCCTGATGCAAAGGTTGAGAACCATGAGGTTCTAAATTTAGAGCCTTGAGAACCAAGACTCTAAATTTTACCACATAAAAGTTTATCTGAAGCCTGAGCAGAGCCAAAACATGCGAAGGGAAGGAAAATAAGAAACTGAAGGGGAAAAAGTGATTTCACAGAGTTGAGAACTTAAGGGTTTTTTTTTTCCTTTTTCCTTGAGTTAAATATGAGGTTAGATTTTGAAGCAGTTTCATTAAACAGCATTTGTTCATAAAGTATCATAAAGAAAAACACCATTAATATAAGTGAACTTGCTATGTGTTCACAAAGTTGCGCTAGACAATATTATGTGCCTTTCTACTCTTAATCTCATAACATCTACTTTTGGCCACGTGCCAAATTTAAGATGCATGAGATGAACAAAGAATGAATGTCTCTGATAAGTATGATTGTTTTCTCTTCCACAGTTACACAAATACACTACTCACCTTTAAACTGGAAGCCTTATCCCAAGGGCAAGATAACTTAAGCTGGAATGAAATTCAGAATTGTATCGATATGGTTAATATTGAAATTCAAGAAGAAAATGACCGTAAGTATAGAACACTTTCCTTCTCTTGGTATGATGAGAGAATAAGGTGTCTGCACAACTTAGTTCCCTAGATTAAAGCCACAAATTTTTGCTCATGGAGCAAAACTCCCCTGATAGGCACGTATATATTTATATATAAATTTTATACCTATAATACTGCACCAACATAGTACATACATTACAAAACATACACAGAAAGACCTAAAAGGGTAGAATGAAAATGCGTAAATAGAAGTCCTCATGTTTTCTTATTTATTCGTACTTCAGAGATGACTACTCTAAATAACCGCTTTTTAGGCACTCAACTTTATTTTGACCTTTCATTTGGGCATTTTTAAAAAATAAAACCTATGTTGCTACCCTAGGGAAAAATTGGAATGCAAGTCTTTAGGATCACAAATCATGAGAATTCATTGTGTATCTAGAAATTATGAGCTACCTGCAGGAATGCGGACAGTCCCAGGAGGATATGCCCTGAAACATGCTTTCTTGAATGTCACCTTACCTCCTTATCTTGCTTACAAAAACAGGGTGAAGAATGGGGAGCTCTGTAACTCAGCAATCAGTGTAGTCACTACTTTTCTGTAGCATGAACTTCAAGTGTAGAGCGGTCTTTTCCATCATAAAAACAAACAGCACCATCATCTTTGGCTTTGTCTGAGCTGTTCGATTTGTCAGCAACATTTGGACTAAGATTGTTGATGTCACTGACCTCCCTTCTGTCCTCCAGCTTTCACTTATTTTTCTAACTTGTCCTGAGTTTGCTCACAGAGTAAGCAGATACTTCTCTCACAAGCTTAGGCTGTTCTAGTGTGTTTTGGTGAGGTCTTAGGTCTGGTCTTCGAAGGCAGAACCTAACTTTGGGATAGTAAAATCACTCTTGCCGTGAAACATATGACTTTGTTACTTGATTGCATTTGCGTAATTTTCTTTTCTTTCTTGACTGTTTCCTGTGAGCCCTGTGCCCAACATCAAGGCAGGGTTTGTTTTGTTGTTGTTGTCGTTAAACATCTCACTCAAAGTCCCTAATAGGTAACAAGTGTTCAGATAGGCTGCCCTGACATCCATTTCACAGATGTACCGCTGTTACACTGATCCCTGGACAGTTCTTCATTGTATCCTTTTTAAGTTATTTAAATCTTCAGTTCCTCTTCTCTGACCACACAGCTTGCTGCTGCCTCTGCATGTCCTTGGAGGGAGGCATTGCAGGGATCCCTGTGATCAGATGCTTTGCCCACAGCCCACTTAGCTCTTTTCTGACACGTTGCCTTGGCTGGTGGTTCTTGCCAGATGTTAGTCAAGAGGGAAGCACTAATTTGAGCAGATGTTCAATATCATCTGGTCTGTGGGCCTGTTACAGGGCTCAGACCCCCAGCCCCCTGCCCTCCTGCCCTGCTACTTGACCCTTAGCTGCACACTCTTGAGTTACCTGCACTGGTGGTTTGGGTGCTTTGCCTAATGCAACTCAAGGGTAGGACTCCTCTGTTTGGGTAAACAAAACAAAGAATCAGGTGCCGTCTTTCTTTTCTAACTTTTCCCTAGTTCTTTCTGACAGTACTCTGTCCAGGTCTGCATTGGTGATTTCTGTGTTCTGCTAATATGGCAGAGGTGTGTTAGTTCTCAGTGCTAAATGGTTGTATTTTTACTTTCAATCTTTTTTTTTCCTTTAAGATATATTTGAGAGAGTGAGTGTGAGCAGGGAGAGGGTAAAGGGAGAAGGAGAATCTCAAGCAGACTCCCTGCTGAGCATGGAGCCCCACGTGGGGCTTAGTCTCACAAACCTGAGATTGTGAGGAGCTGAAACCAAGAGTCGGACACTTAACCAACTGAGCCACCCAGGCTTCCTTTTACTCGCATTCTTAACATTGATTAAAAAGCTGGGTGAAGGATGCCATTTTGTCGCAGACTATCAAATAGAGCCTTTACTTTTTCTCAGGAAAAGAAAAACAAGTAACATTTGTATAACAAACAAATTTTTTTTGTAGGTGGATATTATTTCTAAGCAAAAATATCTTTGGATTGATAAGGCATTATCTCTCTAGGCACCTGCACTACTGCTATTTTCCATGGGCTATATCACATGGCCACTATCATATTTCTTCTGATGATCATGTTATGAAGGGCACATGCCATAACCACAACAGTTATTTCAGAGATTTCCTTTTCATATTTTCTTTCTAGAATTGGTAGAATTCAGTGCAGAATATTTAATACTCTGTGCTTTGGTTCGTTTAGTTATGTCAAAATGAGGTATTTTCAAAGTACTTGAAGTATTGAGTTTGATATCCTATGTTTAGGTAATTTCTTTAAAAGCTAAATAAAATAATATGCCATTATGAACTGGCATGAATTACACAATATAGTAATTAAATCATCTGAAAGAGCTAAGGATTTTTCATGGACATCTTGAAGGTGCATTATCCTTCCCAACCCACCCCTGCCACATACTTCAAGGTCTAATCTGGTTTCTGAATTGTGATGTGGATAAGGATATGCAGCTAATGGGACATGATAAATGTGGAAGGAGAGCTTATTGGGGAAGCTGCTAAATACATTTCCTCAGACTTGGGTGCTCTGTTGATTTCTTACTGGAAAGTTTACCTTTCCCAATAGAGCCATAGAGGAGCTTCATTTTAACTATGTAGCATAGACAAGGTAGTTTTCTTTCTTTGAATTTTTGCTTTAATTTGGTAGGTAACCTTCTTTGTAGGTTACCTCATCTGATGTCTTAAATATACAATCTGTAAGAGAATGCCCACTCTTTCATTTGACTAGAATGTTATAGTCTTGTATGATGTTTTAAAAAATTGGGTCATGCATCTATATGCTGCCTACAAGAGATTCATTTTAGACCTAAAGACACCTGCAGTTTTGAGGACATGGAGAACAATTTATCATGCTAATAGACATAAAAAGAAAGCTATATATAGCCATACTTATATCAGACAAACTAGATTTTAAATCAAAACCATAACAAGAGATGAAGGGCACTGTATCATAATAAAAGGGTCTATCCAACAAGAAGATCTAACAATCATAAATATTTATGCCCCCAGCATGGGAGCACCCAAATATATAAGTCAATAACAAACATAAAGAAACACATTGATAATAATATAATAATAGTAGGGGGCTTTAACATCCCACTTATAACAATGGATAGATTGTCTAAGCAGGAAATCAACAAGGAAACAATGGCTTTGAGTGACACACTGGACCATATGGACTTAACGGATATATTCAGAATATTTAATCCTTAACCAGCAGAATACACATTTTTTGAGTGCACGTGGAATATTTTCCAGACTAGATCACATACTGGGTCACAAATCAGGCCTCAACAAATACAAAAAATTGAGATCATACCGTGCTTATTTTCTGACCACAATGCTATGAAACTTGAAGTGAACCACAAGAAAAAATTTGAAAGACCACAAATACATGGAGGTTAAAGAACATCCTACTAAAGAAAGAAGGGGTTAACTAAGAAATTAAAGAAGAAATAACCAATACATGGAAGAAATGAAAATGAAAACACGACAGTCCAAAACTTTTGGGATGCAGCAAAAGCAGTCTTAAGAGGGAAATAGATAGCAATACAGACCTACCTCAGGAAGCAAGGAAAATCTCAGATACACAACCTAACCTAACAAACTAGATTTTAAATCAAAACTGTAACAAGAGATGAAGAAGGGCACTGTATCATAATAAAGGGGTCTATCCAACAAGAGGATCTAACAAGGAGCTAGAAAAGGAATAGTAAATGAAGCCTGAAGTCTAAAGCCTAAGGGAACTAATAAAGAGCAGAAGTACATGATGTAGAAACAAACCAAAAAAACAGTAGGACAGATCAATAAAATTAGGAGCTGGTTCTTTGAAAGAATTAACGAAATTGATAAACCCCTAGCCAGACTTACCAAAAAGAAAGAGAAAGGACCCAAATAAATTCTCTCTCATTCATGAATGAGAAAGGAGAGATCACAACCAACACCACAAAAACACAAACAATTGTAAAAGAATAGTATGAAAAATTGTATGCCAACAAATTGGGCAATCTGGAAGAAATGGATAAATTCCTAGAAACATCTAAACTACCAAAACTGAAACTGTGAGAAATAGAAAATTGGGACAAGCCCATAACCAGCAAAAAAATTGAACCAGTTATCAAAAATCAGCCAACAGGAGCACCTGGGTGGCTCAGTTGATTATGCATCTGACTCTTGATTTTCACTCAGGTCATGATCTCAGGGTCATGGGATTGAGCCCCTCACTGGGCTCCCCACTGGGCAAGAAGCCTGCTTGGGATTCTCTCTCTCTCTTCCCAACCTTCTGCCCTGCCCTACTTGTACACTCTCTCTTAAACAAAACAAAAACAAAAACAAAACAACTCAAACGAAAGTCCAGGACCAGATGGCTTCCCATGGGAATTCTACCAAACATTTAAAGAGTTAATACGTATTCTTCTCAAAATGTTCCAAAAAATAGAAGTAGAAGGAAAATTTCCAGATTCATCCTACAAGGCCAGCATTACCTTGATTCCGAAACGAAAGACCCCACTAAGAAGGAGAAGTACAGGCCAATATCCATGTTCATCCAGGTGCATCTTCTCAACAAGGTACTAGCAAATCAAACCCAATAGTATATAAAAATAGTAATTCACCACAATCAAGTGGGATTTATTCCTGGGTTGCAAGAGTGGTACAGTATTTGCAAATCTATCAACGGGATACACCACATTAATAAAAGAAAGGGTGAGAACCATATGATCCTCTCAATAGATGCAGAAAAAGCATTTGACAATTACAGCATTCTTTCTTGATTAAAATTCTTCACAGCGTAGGGATAGAGGGAACATACCTCAGTATCATAAAAGCTATGTGCGAAAGACCCACAGCTAAAGTCATCCTCAGTGGGGAAAAGTGAGTAAAGTCTCAGGATACAAAATCATTGTACAGAAATCTGTTGCACTTTTATATACCAATAATGAAGCAGCAGAAAGA